ATGACGATGCCCGACCTCATGTTGCTCACATCTGCATGGAATTCCTTCAAACAGAGGACACTGAAGTTCTGGACTGGCCTGCATATTCACCAGACATGTCCCCAGTAGAGCATCTTTGGGATGTTCTGGATAGGCGTGTCCAGAACCGTGTTCCAGCTCCAGGCAATGTGGGTCAGCTCCATGTGGCACTCCAGGAGGAATGGAATAACATTCCACAGGCCACCATAGACAATCTGATCAACTCCATGTGAAGAAGATGTGTTGCTCTGAGAGACGCAGCTGGCACAAGATACTGAAAAATCCAATTCCTCAACCTGACCCCTGTCATGTTCAAAGGACTGTCACTCTGCTAGAAATGGCCAGACCACATATATATTTTTCGGGAATGGGGCGGAGCTAGCAAGGGCTAGACAGGTCTCTCAGTGCTCCGGGTGGAATAATATCGTTTTTTCATTAATCTCGCCGTCTAATATACGATTGGCCAAGAAAAGTAGCGGAGCTTTAAACCTTGATCGTTTTGGTTGGTGTTTGGTGAAGGAAAGTTAACTGGGTAAGCAGCAAAATGCCTGGTACGCGCCAAACAAAGATCACCAAACAATTTGAATCAGCTGTGGAGCATGGGCCCGACGCGGAGCCAGACTCGCCGCCTGTGTGGGATAAGTTATCTGAAAAGATTCTGGAATCAATGAATAAGCGATTCGACCTCCTAGATAACAAGCTTGAAACTCTGATGAACACACAACTGGCGCTGACTGAAAGGCTGGTCGCTGCAGAGGAACAAGGTTCTGATCATGAACGGCGCATCCAGGCGCTAGAGCTGAGTTTGACAGCTACGAGGAAAACAAACGACAGACTTTTAACAAAGATTGATGACTTGGAGGGACGTATGCGACGTAATAACATCAAGATATTGGGAATACCAGAGGGTGAGGAAAAAGGCCGACCCACAGAGTTCATCGCTGGATTACTGCCGAAGTTGTTTGGGGCCAGCAACTTTACAGAGCCGGTGACAGTGGATCGCGCGCATCGCATTCCTGTGCCAAAACCCACGGATGGCAACAGACCACGGGGCATTATCGCCAGGATTCACTTTTATCAGGAGAAGGAATTAATCCTACGGCTGAGTCGGCAACAACAAGTGAGCTACAATGGCAACCGAGTCTTCATATATCCGGATTACACCGCGGAGGTGATGGCACAGAGAAGAAGCTTTCGTGAGGTAACCCAGACGCGCAGAGAGCGGGAAGTTAAATATACCTTACGTTTTCCAGCTAAACTTTATGTCCAGCACAACGATCAGGTTAAAGTCTATACCTCACCTGATAGCGCTATGTCCTTCATAGAACAAGAGTTAAACAAGTAGGCCTACTGTATGGGGATGTAGGCCTGTGAACTGGGACTTTTGAGGCTATTATTGGAAGATTATTTGCCTACTATCCCTCAGATGACTTGAATTCGTGTATGGACGGTGGGATTTAATTTTTCTTTTTCTTTTATTCCACCATGGAGTAGCTGTGGGTCACAGCGTGTTTTGTTTCTTTTGATTATTTTGAGAGAGACCTTCGGCGGCGGGTCATTGCCACGCGCTTCATTGGCTATGGGGTCTTTTCTTCTTGTGGGTGGTGGGGGGCGGGTGTGTGTTGTGTGTGGGTGTGTGTTGGTGTGATGGAGTGTGGGGAGAGACGGTCTGTTTGGCTATTCAATCACGATTTTGTATTAAAGTGTGTAGTTTACGTATGAATTGTTTTCCATCATTTTGAAACTATGTCTTCAGTTCTAAATGATACAATTACTTTAGCTTCATGGAATGTGAGGGGCCTGGGGAATAATATAAAATGTGGGAAGGTATTTTCTTATTTAAATTCTTTGAAAGCAGATATTTTGTTTTTGCAAGAGACTCATACTGTTAAAGATACAGAATATAAACTGAAGTCCGACTGGGTCTCACAGGTCTACCATGCACCCTTTACAACTCGTGCAAGGGGGGTAGCAATTTTGTTTCGTAATAATATTCCTTTCATATTGAAATCCAAGACTATAGATCCCAATGGGAGATTTATTTTAGTTTCTGGTCATATTAATTCATTTCCAATCACTTTGTTGAACATCTATGGCCCAAATTCAGATGATCCTGCTTTTTTTTGTAAGGTTTTTGATTTACTTCCAGAGGATGTTCACTCCAATATATATATTGGTGGCGATTTTAATTGTTATTTGAATCCATCCCTAGAGAGATAATCATCTAAAGTTCCCCCAACTATTAATTCTGTTCAAACATTAAATAATCTCATCAAATCTAGAAATATGGTGGACATTTGGAGAATACAGCACCCTGACAAAAGGGAATATTCATTTTATTCTCACGTACATCAGTCATATACTCGAATTGATTACTTTATTACTGAGGCCCGGTCATTTCCAAAGATTAGTAATACAAATTATCACAGCTTATTAATTTCTGATCATTGTCCTGTTACTTTGCAGCTTCAAGCATCTTTTTCTAAACCAAAATTTAAGTGGAGATTTAACCCTCTATTATTATCATCACCAGGTTTTAAGGAGTACATGAACAAAAATCTTACAGAGTTCTTGAAGATAAATGACAACGGAGAGGTTTCAGATTCCACTTTATGGGAAGCGCTTAAAGCTACCATGAGAGGACATATCATTATGTTTGAAACTTCGAAGAAAAAAGCTGAATCTAAAAGAATGAAAGAAATTGAACAAGAAATTATTAATCTAGAACAAATACATAAGACCTCTTTACAGCAGTCGGACTACAACAAGATCTTGAAGCTTAAGTCTGAATATAACTCCGCCCTTGGTAGGGAAATTGGTAGTCTTTTACTAAAGACCAGACAAAAGCCTTTTGAACTGAGTGATAAACCCCAAAAGTTACTTTCAAGACAACTTAAAGGGGATCAAGCTAAGACTGCTATTTATAAAATACAGTCCAAAGCTGGACAGATCCTTACAGATCAACAGGAAATTAACAATGTATTTAAAGACTTTTATTCCAGTCTGCACGCCTCTACCTCTACAGCAGCTAAGACAGATTATGCACAATTTTTCAGTTCGCTGTCTTTGCCACGGTTAAATGACAGCAATCAGTGCTCTTTGGAAAGAATGCTTTCAGTGGCGGAATTAGTTGAGGCAATCAAGGCTTTTCCAACAGGTAAATGTCCAGGACCAGATGGCTTTGGAGCTGAATTTTATTTGGCATTCTATGAGATTTTAACACCTCTGCTTCTCAGAACGTTCAATGAGTCGATGGCCAGCAAAACTCTTCCACCCTCTCTGTATGAGGCTAATGTATGTCTGCTATGAAAAAAAGGGAAAGATTCCACTGATCCCACTAACTATAGGCCAATTTCTTTACTCAACTTTGATCATAAAATTTTGACAAAATTATTGGCCACTAGATTAAATAAACATATAGCAAAAATTATTCATCCAGACCAAGCTGGTTTTATTCCAGGCAGGCTTTCCTTTTTTAATGTGCGTCGTTTATTGAATGTATTGTACTCTGAGCGGGCTGATAACATCCAAGCTGCAGTCATGACATTGGATGCCCAAAAAGCTTTTGACTCCATTGAATGGCCATATCTATTTGAAACTCTGAGGAGGTTCGGCTTCGGTGAGATCTTTGTGGACTGGATTAAAATAATTTACCGTGCCCCTAAATCTTCGATTATATCAAACAACATTTCATCAGAACCGTTCAATTTACATCGCGGGGTGAGACAGGGTGACTGTCTGTCTCCTCTACTGTTCACCTTAGCATTAGAACCTTTGGCGATAGGGATAAGGAGTCATCCATGTATTTATGGGATTCCAGTGGGTTCATCAGAATGTCTTGTTACGTTGTATGCGGATGACCTACTTGTTACTATAATGAAGCCTGAAACAGGTATTCCTCACCTTTTAAAATACATTGAATCGTTTAGCAAAATTTCTGGCTATACGATAAATTGGACTAAAAGTGAGCTTGTGTTTATTGGACAGAATTCTGTTTTACAAAATTGTCCCGTCAAAGTCGTTCAAGATTACATTACATATTTAGGTCTTAAAGTCTCCAAGAATCCCAAATTACTGTTCAGATTAAATCTGTTGGAATGTACTGATAAATTGAAACGCAATATAGAATATTGGAGAACTTTGCCCCTTTCTATGATTGGCAGAGTAAATGCCATTAAGATGGTGTCCCTACCCAAGTTTTTGTATATTTTTCAAAATCTGNACAATAACTGTTTAATAATTATGTCTTTATATTATTTATATTTCTCATATATCCACAGTGTTCCTACCTCAACAGTGCAATATATTTATTCTACCGTTTGGCTAACTGTACATACTTCCTACTGGCTCCTTTTGTAAATATATGTATATATTCTTATTTGTCTTTTTATATATTACTTTAGTAGTTTTGCACCACTGGAGTTTTCCTTTAGTTTCATTGTACCTTGTGTATGATGACAATAAAAGCATTCTGTTCTATTCTATTCTAAAACCAACAGCCATTAATACACAATACATTATATATTTTTTTGACAAAATGCCATCTATATCTATATTTTGCATAAAACAATAAAGCTTTATTTTTAAGTCAATTCAATTTTATTTATAAAGCGTGAATTCACAAGATATGTCATCTCACAGCCCTTAACACAGTGAGGTACACACCTTTTTGAACAGAGAACCCAACAATCCAAAGATGCCTTTGGACTCCCGATGAGCAAGCAGTTGGCATCGGTGGGACGGAACCAAAAAAGATCCTAGTAGGGAGGGAAAAAACCTCAGACAGAACCGGGCTCAGGGAAAGTGCCATCTGCCTCGACCGGTTGGGTGAGAGCAAGGATAGCAGGATAGCACATCGGAAACCATCAAAAAATGATTCAGAAAGTACAGAGCAGGAAAACGGATTATGAGGAGTCAGTTCACAACAACTAGTCAGGCTTTTGCATGAAGTAATGGAAATGAACGGATCAAACAGTCAGGCAAAAGAAAAGAGTAAAATAGTTTATTGTGTCAGTATAGATCAACAGAAGGCACACATACAGCATCTGAGGGTCGAGGTCACACCAGTGTCAGCATCTCATACAACCATGTGTTCAGTTAGCAAAATATACCATTACATCCATCTTCTATCTGCACAGAGTATACGTCACTCCTCCATGGAGAGCTGATGCAATACATTAGCAAGCAAATGCAGCCTTTTGCAAAAATATATCCATATATAATTATACACTTTTTCTACACATCGAAGCAACTCAACTATACAAAATGCAGAAAACTATCTCGGTACAATAACTGGTGAGCCATTTGTAAGAAAGTCCATGCTTAGGATTAGAGTGGCAGTATTACAGAATCAAAAATAGAAGCAGTACCTTTGTCATAAAACGGTAATAGGAAAAACTTACAAGTCCATATAATGCCAAAAATATTAGCTTTGAAAACAAGAAAAAGTACACAAAAGACATTTCAATGTACATGTTTAGAGGATTACAAGGTCTGGAAAATATACGTGTCCCTTTCAAGCAGTCTAAGGTTCACATAAAATACAATTAGAAGTAAATTAGTAAAAGTGTGCCATGGCTTTGAGATACTTTTTGGTTGAAATACAGATCCCAGAGTTCACATACGTGAGGACTACAGCGACGGCCATGCTACAAAATTACCACTATTACTACACCTGCGACTGTCAAGCAAGTCCAGAATTTAAGTTGAAATATTTTGAGAAAAAAAAAAAAGTTTTCATGTTTTTGTCGTCAATTTTACAAGAAAAAGCCGAAATATCTCAAGAATAATGTCACATATTTACAGCAAGAGATTGAAAAATAATGTGTTGCTTTACAGCAAAACTGTAATTTCTAGTTGATTATCAAATTACAGCTCTTATCTTGTATCATGGATTCAAATGCTTTATACTGTAAAAATAATATTTTTGTCATCATACTGTGACATTATATAATCCCATGATAATTAATTTACTCATAACTTTTTTTGGACAAATACATTTTTATCTCAAAGTGCCTTTTTCAGTAAGATTATTACATTTTATTTTCTTTAAAACAAGCTTTTTATTGTAAAACAACAAGTTCCTCGTGGTATTTTAAAATACTTGTTCGTAACATATGCGTCTTTTCTCAAAATATTAAAACTTACTCGTGAAATCTGTCTTTTTGCAGCTGTGACCCTAAATCCATCATAACACATGAATCCAAATCAGAACTACAAAAGTTTTGGACAAAGAATTGCATTTTCGTCTGAGGGAATTAGTTTAACAGTCTCAGAGAATCACTGACTTTCAGCTTCTGATTAAATCTTAATTAAAAAAAAAAAAAATTGGCAAAAGAGACACTTAATTTTTCTTTTTAGTGACAGATTACGTGGAAAAACATACTGACAATCTCAAACACTGCTCAGTAATTTTAGCCTGTTAACATAAGTTTTCCTGCAGCTGCCAGGCTGTGGAGTCTAATATGGGTAGCTGTCAGGGAAAGCCAGGCCCTGGATGCACTGCTCCCCTCCTTCGACCAGGTAGGGACCCTCCTCCTCATAGCTGGGCAGGGGGACGGCGTCGTCCTCGCTGGGAGGTACGACGGTGTCCGGGTCGGTCTTCAGACTCGGCCTCTGGTTGTCTGGGAAGGCCATGGAGAAGAGCGCCTCGGGGTTGCACACAAACTTGTAGACGTACCTCTCTCCAGCCACCTGCAGGAGGAACCAATCAGAGGTAAGAACAGATCATGAGCTTCATTCAGTGATCCAAGCTCATCATGTGACTATCACATATGCAAATTTAAATTATTTAGTGACGTTGTTTACACGAACAATATTACAATCTATAGGACAGAGAATCACAACTTTCTGATTACTTAAAAGGTCCCAGATGGTAAAAAAACAACAAACAAACATCTTTCTGCTTCCTTCCTGCTCTCTGTTCTCATTTACATAGTTTTTGGTTTCTGTTGTCACATAAAGGAACACATATTAAAAAGGCACTGAAATGAACTTTTTAACCAGCAGTGTCTTCTTTCAAGATGCTGCCCTGCACCAGTAAACTACTGATTTTATAACTTCAACGTCATCTGACAAACTCACAAACACATGAATCCGAGCTGAGAGTTCTGAGATATTTTGACACTGAATGATCGCTCAGAGAGAAAGTTACAAAGACTGAAAGTCCTGGTCTCCTTTACGTCAGAGTCTTCTTCTGCTCAGATGCATTTAAAGCTACAGACAGTGAAACAGCCCATTTACAGGGCAAAAAACAGAAGCTATACAGTCAGGGTGAAGCAAAGCCTTTCTGTGGGATTTTAAGCTGAAAGACTAAAGACACTTTCTGGGGACAAGACCTTCAATAATTTGCTGCGGCACAATTTCGGACTTCTAACTCTAAAAAGTTGCCCGATCGCCATGCAGCAGAGTATTCAGTTCTTAAAATAAAAAGGAACGGTAATATTCAACAAGCAGATGTTACAGAAAGCACCCAGGTATTGGCTCAGTTGTTTTAAAAGCTCTTTTGTGCATTGTGCTCTGAGCATGTTAAACAGTCAGGTTACACTGTGGAGCTTTGTTGGGATGGACAGCTGTGTTGTGCAAAGTCTCTAGGTTATGCAGTGTACTTCCAGGTTGTATATTATGGTCTGATTTGGGCAATATGGTTGAAGAAAAGCAATATGTTGTGCTAGTTTTCACTCATGCCCCTTAAATGTGTGTACATTTTTACACTTGTATGCACTCTGCCTGTAAAAATGTCCTCCAGAGGACAATTAAGCACATTGTGTATATCGGAATACTTTACAATAAGAAGAGAAACTTGACCTGCCTTTACCTTCTGCATGATGCCCTTCTCGTAGTAGTAGCGCAGTGAGCGGCTCAGCTTGTCGTAGTTCATCGCCGGCCGATTCTTCTGGATGCCCCACAGCCGAGCCACCTGCACACAACACAGAAAAAAAAACCCTCCTTGAACCGTCCTGCTCCTGAGCTTTTTCATGAGAAGACTTCTCCTGAGAGGTGAAGTATGTGTCAGCCTACTGAAGGCTCTTGGAAAGTCTCCTATGAGGCTTTTCAGCAGTGACTGACCTCTTCGGGGTCGATTAGTTTAAACTCCATGTTGCGTCCCGTCCACACGATCAGGTGTCCGTTAGCTGGGTTGTCCAGCAGCGTGAGCAGGAACTGCCAGAGCTGCAGGGAGCCGCGGCGTTGGTACGGCAAACCCTCCTGCTTGACTTTAGCTGGTTACAGAAGCACACAGAACACACTCAGTACAACTCTCCTGTCTGTGGGCACGGAAATATTCATATTCAGGTATTTCCCCCTGAAGTGTCGGCAATAGTAAAAGCAGCATTTAGGGTTTGCTGAGGTCTTACCTTCCATTCTGTCGGGCACAACACAAGTGTCGTCATAGTACAAACGTGGCTCTCTGTCGTGACCAAACCCTGTGAGGCGAAATGTGGAATATTAGAAAAACTGTGGAGGGTCAGACAACAGCAGAGCTTTGTTTAGACTGAAGACGAAGAACTTCACCTGCACTGTTGTTGTGGTAAAACACTGAAGACGACTGGCAGGTCTGGACCTCTGAAGACACAAATGTCACAACAGTCAGACGGCTTCATAAGCAAATTGGAAGACAAGATCAATCCTTGGAGCCTCTGAATGTAAACCACTAACATCATATGCTGTTTAATCATTTCTCCTTTGGAGCCTTGTAAAGGTTTTCACTGTGAATGCTCAGAAATAAACAGAAAAGCGATGTGCTCATGCAGAGCCTGCCGTCTCATTACCCTGAACCACCGGGCGTACAGCCGTGCTACAGGCAGCAAATTAAGTAGATACACATCTGACACACACCTGAGTCGAAGCCAAAGTCTCTTGGCTCTTGTTTAATCGTGACATGGCTGAAGGAGGTCTGGGGCCGGGTCAGACCGGGACCAGGAGGCCCTGGATCTGGATACCGCGGGTCCACCAGTTCTTGTTTGAAACCTCTGGGGCCCGGAGGAACAAGGGGCTCCGAAAGGTGACGCTGGTACAGAGGCCGCCCATCTCGCCCCGCGGGGTGATACGCTGTGTTTGTCGTTTTCTCTGGAGGGAGGAAGGACAGGCAGGGATCCGACAGCTGCCGTTGAAACCTGGAGAGTGGAAGAACAAAGAGAAAATCAGAGGTTCGAGGGTTTTGAGTGATTTGGTTTCCAAACTGAAGCTCTGATCTCCAAGCAGTTTCAGGGCATTTTTAGCTTCTGTCTCATTTTTCCTCACTGTTGGTTCATTTCTCTCTGTAATATAAAGTCCTGCAGCTCCATGGAAACAGAACATCCCAGAATGTCTTCTGTGCAGTATGACACAGTTACCACCTCAATGCAATGAATCAGAACAGAAAAAAAACTAAGTTGAATTTCTTTGACTGCTGGTTTTGCAAAAATTTTAAAAAGCTGGTATCAGCATGTTTAACCATTTTCCAAATCCCCACAGGCGTTACCAACAGCGACAAAAAACACAGTGACTCCACATGCTATAGATATTTTACTGCTTACATTTTGAATTTGTTTCCATGCTTGTCCTTCTCTACTGTGTTTAAACAACCTGCAGTTCAGCCAAAAAGTCCCTGAATTATTGTCTCCTGACTGTTAGCCGCACTAATCCCTTTACAGTTACACCGAGATGTTTGTACAGAATTAGGCCACAGCAAAATGGTTTATTCTTAGCACGTGTAGAATAAAGTGATTCTGATGAAATATCACGATTTTCAGCTCAGATTTGCCGATTTTTCCCAACAAAATGAAAAGTCGTACGTGATGAGTTCAGCACCGTTGGAAAGTTGAAAATCCAACAGTTCTGTTTATGCAGTTTCTGATTCTGACAGATTTTGTCCCTTTGTTTATTTAAAAAAAAAACAACAGCACACTACTAAGACCAGCAGGCAGTTCTGGGGCGTCAGTGTGTTAAAATGTCTACAAGTCTTTATGAGGACTCACCTTTGTTCTGTGTTGAAAGGCGCTGTGGAGCAGCTGATGGGAGGATGCGGCAAAGCAAACTGCCGGTTTTGGTGGGCCTGTGGGAGGCTGTGATGTTGGGAGGGGCTGAGGGCAGGAACGTGGCTCGGGGAGCAGTTGTTGGTGAGCTGGGGGGTCGATGGCTGAAGCTGCCTCTGTAAGGGTGGAGGTGCAGCAGGATGGATGGAGCCACACTGTGCTGCAGGAGTGGAGGCTGCAGTCAGAGCTGGCTTGCTGTCACAGGCACTGAGGAGACATCAGGAGGGAGCTGTGAACCACCTGACTGGCTGAGATCACTATCATATCCTGCTTTAGTGTCAGACATTCATTTGGTACCTGTAACTATAAAGGCACATGTCAGCCTGAGGCGTTCTGCAGGGAGACAGGTCTTTGGACAGACTGGATTCTCGCTTCACTTTACTGGCAGGCGGTCCATGAAACATCACTGCAACACACACAAAAAAATCATTTAACCCTGACGAGCACCTTTACGTTGGGCTGCACGCTACATACATTTTTACCGAAGTGTAACGTGGTTTCACCATCGGACTCTTGCTTTTACAGCAGCACCTGTTAAAGTGGATCACTGTGCATGTCTTAGCTAAGACAGACGGCAATCGGAGCACAAGCAGTAAACGTTTTAATTGCTGCGTGAAATAAGCCTTAAAACCTCTCAAGATGTGCAGTGTTTAGTCCCCACCAAGCATCGCGTTTAGTCTGAAGGTCAGAACGGTACATTTTGGTTTCACGAGAGCAAAGAACCTTTTTCCAGTTGATTTCAGAGTCTCCAACCGGCCTCTGGTCGAGATTTATTCTGAGCTTTTGTCAAGAGCTGCTTCCTTTCACCACTGAAGAACAGGCAACAGTTTATGTATGCACAGCCTCTCCATCTTAGTTGATGAAGCTCCNATGGATGGATGGATGGATGGATGGATGATGGATGGATGGATGGTAGATCTTTGCTTTTGTCTGACATGAAAAGTGATCTTGGCTTGAAAAAGGTTGGTGACCACTGGTGTATCTCAGTACAAAGTAGGCGTCTACTGATATGATGTTTTTAGCCCTACTAACCCTACTGAGAGATTATTAGAAATCTCGATATTAGGAAACAATATAAATTTGCAGTAAAAATACAAATCTTACTGTCAAACTTTAGAAAAACACAAACTCTAACACAAACCTTTACTGACATGTCTTTGTGTAGTTTTGTTCTACATACGTTTTGTTAATCGACCAGGCCAATAACCAGTCCATCACTAATTCAAAGACAGATATCGATGTCCTACTGAAGAACATGGTACCAAAATGAGAAGGTGGAGGATCCAAACAATCTTATTCTGTAGGCAGATAAACTACATCCTGTCTGCAGCACAGGTAGAACACCTGGCTGAATCTGTGGCTGTTACAGAAGTTTAAAAATCATCAAACCCACCAGGACCGTCAGGACGAGGCTGAGTGCTGAAACCGACTATTCAACACACCAAAGACTGGAACAGCTCCAAGCAGAGCTACGATTCAACATCTGTGAATGAACTTCTTTTTGTAACTACACGGCTTCATTCAGTGGTTTTAGTAACACACAGCTCAACATGTTACAACTTTTTCCCTCAGCTGAGAATCTGTTCCGCTCATTAAGAATCAACAGGAAATGATTTGATTAAAGGGAGACGCTGCTTCCAGCTGATTTCAATGTAAACTCTGAACACAATCTGCTCCCGACCAGGTTAACGCCACAGCATGAGCTACCATGGAGATCTAGCAGGTTCAAACAGAGACACACTCGTGACACTGAAAACTCGGCTCAACATTCCTCGCTAACCTCACGTTTGTGCTTGTTGGTGATGAAGGAGGAACCTTAGAGACCGCAATGAGTCAAAGTTCTACTTACTCAGCTTCTTCCCACCAACACAGATCTCTGCTGTCTGGACCGGGTTTGTGCAGAAACATAGAAAATCTGCTTCTCCGTCCAAGGTCCTCTGTGTCTGCAGGCTGCCGTCACTCTGAAACACCTCAAACAGGTCAAAGAGCACCTTTATTTGATTTTATTGTCATAAATCATTAACCTGCAGAACCTTCTTGCTTCGACTCCCTCATAAATGACTCCAAACTTATAAAGCTCCTGACCTGTGAATGTTTCCTTCATTTGCAATATGTAATGAAAATAAAATATTGGTTCAAAGAGGTGATCAGGAATGAGTTTCTCCATTTAAAGTTTGCTGTATCCCGTCAGAACCTGTCATGGCAGCTGGTCCAATCATCTGACGTGCATCGTGTAACCTCGGCAGCTCCTGAGACGTTCTACCTGAAACCATCAGTCTGGTCACTGATCACAATATTATCCTGGAAAGATGAAACCAAGACAAATGATTTAAATGCCAG